CGCTACTATGCGGAGATGATGCTTCATTTCAGTTCACACTATTCTATTATTGCCTTCAAAGCAAAAAGAGCCTGCTGCACCATAAAACAATACTGGGCATTAACCACTGCAAAACAATAATCTCGGTCGTGTATTTACTGTGTGGACAGCTCCCTCCAAAAAGAAAGCATAAACAAACCTTCCAGTCCTCCCCAAGCCAGAGCCTTCCTCCAGATGACTTCACTGAGGCTTTAAGCATCAGGGTTTCCAAAAATCTGACTGACAGAACTAAGTGCCCCATGTCCCCATATTGATGTCATTCATTTCTAATATTAGCAGCAGAGCATTTCGGGTTCACCTGGGAAAGGGGTGCTTTTATTTTTGAGTTGAACGAGAACAGATACTAAAAATGAACATGGTGAGACTTCCTTCTGGCGTATCTGACACAGATAAAATAGGGAAGCCTGTGCAGCAAGACTATTTTGGATCAAATGGGAAAGGAATTCAAGGTAGTTGGAAATCCAGTGTGCTTTAAGACATTCTCTGTCACCTCACTCATGAGTTCTGAGGAATTAAGAAATAAAATGAAATCTTATAAAATCATTTGGATACAGAATGTCATCAGAGATCATGATGGACTTGTGAAAATCCTATCCGGGTGACAGCATGGATCCAGGTGATGGGTTATAGTTCAGCATGAGTGATGCACTTGGTTATTGGATGTTGTAGCCATACCCACAAAGAACTGAAGGGCACATTTGGGACTCATTCAGTCACATGTGTCAAGCGTTTGAGCTTTTGTCATCTAGCATGGTTTAAATGGGTCAAAGTAGCTGGTCACCACCACATTTCTGATTCGCATAGATGTACAAAGTCAGGAAAAACGCTGTTGTACCACTTAGCATGAATGATTGCAATAACATTGGGATGTCATGCCCTGTGTGAATGGCATTTCTTTCCACATTCTCCCATCTGCAAAGTGAGTAGTGTCATCATGTGTCAAGAATGATTTATTTATGTGATACCCATCTTGGAAATAGACAAAGTAAGAGCAATATATTGAAAGACTCAGAAACCTCCAAAGTATGGAAAAATGTCTGCCATTTTAAAATGGCCACAAAAGTTTAGTAGCCATTTTTTGTAGAAAAAGTAAATATTTAGATAATGTACCAGAGGTTACATAGTTGAAAGAAACAAAAACATTAAGGATCAGATGGAGCCTGGATCAGCATCTGTCTGTAATTGAACTTTCCTTACATCCATGTTTTTCTAAGAAGTTTATTTCAGAAAGGCTACCACCCTCTGTTGTAAATATCAATGGGAAAGGAATGGGCTATGATTACTTCTTACTGTTTGGCGATTTGTTTTTGCTGACAGTTCTCTAGTCTAGTCTTCCATCTTGACTGATCATTAATCGTTTTATGCCACTGTCACAGGGCAGTTCTCTGCCTTGAGTGTGGATCTCTAACTAAGAAAGTGTTCAGTCACACAAACTTGCTATTTTTTGAATTTGTTAGAGAACTCTGGCCTATACAGGCTTAGTCTTAAAGCTGCCTGGTTTTGCTTTGCATTGTTGGTTGGTTGGTTGTTAATGTTGTTATCTTGTTTGTTTTGCATTGTTATTCCTCCCCCACATTAGTCTCAACATCACTAAATTTAACATTAAAGTTCCACAGGAAACCTTGTCTAGATCAATTTCCTCATGTCAAGCACAGAGTGCCCATCCTATGCTCCCAAAGATTCCTGTGGCAGGGCACACGCCACACACCACTGAACGGTGATGATATGTTATGCTCTACCTTGTCCCTCCTTGGACTTTGGTTTTTAACAAAGTAGAGAGCTGTGCCTTTTTCTCCACTGCATCACAAAGCTGTGCCTGGAACACAGTGACCTCTAACTAAACTTTTACTTACTCATCAGTGTTAGATGTCTTGCCTGGAAGACTCTAGTACTCACTTATATTTTTCTTGTTGTTTTATTTTATCTTAAATGCTGTGTTTTTCATTCTCCCTGTTAAACCATTTTTTTTTCTCTAGGCTCCCATCTTTGGAAATGAGCAAACTTTCAGTTCTTCCAGTTGCACCTAATAATCACCCACACACATACACATGCACACCAAGAAAAAAAATCAAAGAACAATGTCTTATGAAATTCTTTCCATGGAAAATGTCCAATTACTTCTCTCCTATCTAGTACTATTCAAAACATGTTTCACATGTACTTGTATGCAAGTTTCCTTCCATTTGCAAATAGTGGGAAATTCAACACCATATCTGTTAGAGGTCAGCCGTCAGGAAGCACTAAACTCCCTGTATTGGCTTACCATATAACATTATCATTGTTAATCAGATTCCATGCACATAGAAATGATACTAAATGAATGCCACAGATACCCAACATCCCATCCTAATGAAGAAATCAAACTCCGGGGAGCTTTTACCTAAGGTCACTTAGCTAGTGTAACAATGAGTCAAAACCCAGGTCTTTCAGTTCTACATTCTGATTAATACTCGACTAGCTATGAAATTACGTGTATCATTCTGGTGACATTTTATAGACAATAAAAAGCAAGAGAAAAAAAAACAGATGACAACGTGAGGAGAAGAAGCTGGTTAAGTGACCAATATACCACTCTGTAGAATGGGGGCGGAACTGTACATGTGGTCAGAATTGGGAATAATTTTCCCCCCAAATTGTAAGTTTTCAGCTTTGCCTCCTTGGTTTGATCTGCACACTGGTTCTATGGGACATATGCAGGCTGAGACTTTGGTGTCCTCTCTGAGAAGTGTTAGAGGACAGAAGTGGGTTGGTTCTGGATTTCCATAAAGACTTACAGGTAGATAAATGCTGCAACACCTGGCTCCATCTCTATGTAAAATTATAAAACTACGTTTCTTTACCTGATGAACTTTTAGGGATGAAAAAATGTTAAGAAATAAAAGACTTCTTCTTTAAAGGGCAATCTGAACTTCCTGTGTTAATTTTCTGCAAACTTGTATAAAAATAGGTTATAGTAAAGATGTTTTTTTTAATTTTTATTTTATTTTATTAGTTCAAATTAGGAACAAGCTTGCTTCAGATGTCAATCCCTTCTGCCTCTCCTTCCCCTCCCCCCAAACATCCCACCTGCCCCTAGCCATCCCCCTCCACTCCCCGGGCAGGGTAAGGCCCTCAAAAGGGGCTCCCCAACGTCTACCACATCATCCTGGGCCAGGCCTAAGCCCTTCTCCATGTGTCCAGGGCAAGAGTACATCACTTCACGAAGGATGGGCTAAGACTGGGTTTCTTAATAGGTTGGTATTGGCACAAAAATAGATAGGTAGACCAATGGAATAGAGTTGAAAACCCTGAAATTAACCCACACACCAACGAACACCTGATTTTTGACAAACAATCCAAATATATATGCTGGAACAAAGAGAACATCTTTAACAAATGGTGCTGGCATAACTGGATGCAAACATGTAGAAGACTACATATAGACCCAAGCCTTTCGCCCTGCACAAAACTTAAGTCAAAATAGATCAAAGACCTCAACATAAACCCAGCCACCCTGAACCTACTAGAAGATAAAGTGGGAAATACTCTTGAATTAATTGGTACAGGAGACCGCTTCCTGAACATAACACCAGTAGCACAGACACTGAGATCAACAATTAAAAAATGGGAGCTCCTGAAACTGAGAAGCTTCTGTAAGGCAAAGGTCATAGTCAGCAAGACATAACTACAGCCCACAGATTGGGAAAAGATATTCACCAACCCCAAATCCAGCAGAGGGCTTAATTTACAAAGAACTCAAGAAGCTAGTCTCCAAAACACCAAACAATCCATTTAAAAAGTGGGGTACAGAACTAAATAGACAATTCTCAATAGAGGAATCTAAAATGGCTGAAAGACACATAAGAAGGTGTTTAATATCCTTAGCCATCAGGGAAATGCAAATCAAAACAACTCTGAGATACCATCTTACATCTGTCAGAATGGCTAAAATCAAAAATACCAATGACAGTTTATGCTGGAGAGGATGCGGAGAAAGAGGAACACTCCTCCACTGCTGGTGGGAGTGCCAACTTGTACAACCACTTTGGAAATCAGTATGATGACTCCTCAAGAAAATGGGAATGAGTCTACCATAAGATCCAGCAATTCCACTCCTAGGCATATACCCAAAAGAAACACATTCATATAACAAGGACATCTGTTCAATGATGTTCATAGCAGCATTATTTGTAATAGCCAGAAACTGGAAACAGCCTAGATGCCCCTCAACAGAAGCTAATTTTAAAAAAAATGGTGCCAGGTACCACAAGGGTAACAGAACTATGCTGGTTTTCTTGGATTTTGTCTTTTACTTTTTTTTTTAAAATGGAGCGTGCTGGATGTCTCTACAATTTTGTTCAAATGACTGCAGAACCTGGAAAAGCTGTTGCTGCTATTGATGCATAACATACTGCCATTATTGGTCTTTTTATATAAATATAAATATATATATACATATATAATTTGAATTTTTGGAAACTTTAGCTGTGCTGTCAACTATGGAAAAAGTAAAGATGGTTTTATGTATCCTCTTTATTTGGAAGTAATATTTCATTTTAGAAGCCATTAAATCAATAAGTCAACATTTATTATGTGTGTATTATATGACATGTCTGATGAATTAATAGTTGACTAGTGAAAAAGGTAAATTCCCTTTCTCTGGGAGAATACACATTCTAGAAGAAAAGAGAAAGAGAGAGTAATATAAAATCAAAATAATAAAGATATTTTAAAATTGAAAACCTTCATTTTGTGGGGGATACTTGGTTCTTAAGCTAAGTTTGAGAAGAAGTTGAGTTTCTCAATGACAACATGAAACAGGAATACAATGAAAATAGCAAATAAATCTTGGAATGACCCAAGGCCAAGAGTATATCCTCCTCTGCCTCAGCTCCTATCAAGAAAGATAATATTCAGGCATAGGTCGTGTACTGCTTCACATGTGGAAGTGCTAACTGTGTGTTGCTTTGCTTTTGTTCTAGGAATCTTGGGAAATCAGGACTCAGAGTTTCTTGCTTGGGTCTTGGTAAGTACTCATGGTGTTATTGGGGGGATGGGTGGGAGACTAAGGAGATACCAGAGAGTGACTGTGATGTAGTTCAGGGTTACATCTCAGTAGAAGGAGACTGGCCCGTTTTGCCCAATTTCCCCTCTGAGCCTTTCATTGTCCAGCATGCCCATCTCCCTGCCCATGCCCAAGGATCCATCATGTCATTCATCTTCTATCTCAAGCAAAAATCAGCCTTAAAGGAGGAGGACGACATACATCTGCTTACCTGCTGTGCAAGATGTAAAAATACATATATATGCTTACCTGCCTTTAGTTTAACTGAATAACTCTCTATTCTTACCTCCCCTTTGACTAATACCTTCACTTATTTCCTGATATTGTTATATATTTTATGTGCTTTTAAAAATCTGCTTCAAATTCTTGGGGGCAAATGAGGTAATGTACACACAAAGTGTTGTCAATCGACAGAATCTAGAATAACAAGGGAGATGGTCCTCTAGGCATTCCCGTGAGGCGTTGTCTTGATTATGCTACTTGGTAAGGGAAGACCCATCTTAACTGTGGATGGAACAATTCCCTGACAGCAGGTCCTGAACTGTACAAAATGGGGGTAGGGATGCTTTCGGAATGGAACTGTTTATTCCATGTCATTGCATAACTGGCAAAATGTAGTATGGGTATGGTGCTGTGTGTATGTCACACTGTGTCTGAAGTCAGGATGGAAAAAGTGATGTTTACTGGTGTTAGAGGGAACTCACTCGAGAGGACCACTGTGTCTACAGCATATGGCCAATCAAAAGTCTTTATTCCAAACAACTGGGACCACACCCAGGTTTTGAGGGACCTAGGTGTGGTCCTAAGTGTCCAGAACACCCAGTTTTTAAGGGCAGGCACCTTGTCTCTGCATCTCCTTTGGCAGCACTATGGGGCAGGTGAACAGTAATCAGTTTCAAGCAAGCAGGGGTTTTTTGTTTGTTTGTTTTGATTTAGGTTTTTTTTTTTTTTTTGGTTTTTCAAGACAGGGTTTCTCTGTGTAGCTTTGGAGCCTATCCTGGCACTCGCTCTGGAGACCAGGCTGGCCTCGAACTCACAGAGATCCGCCTGCCTCTGCCTCCCGAGTTCTGGGATTATAGGCGTGTGCCACCAACGCCGGGCTCAGGCAAGCAGTTTTAACAAAAGCTAAGATAAGTGATTAGCCAGTGGAAAGGGGGATTCTGCAGAAAGAGGCAGCTAAGATAGCAGTTAGCTGGAGAAGGTTCTACGTAAACAATTTTAACAATGGCGAGAGCTGGGTAATTTCCCATGGGATTCCCCATCAAGGAGATCAGACTCTAGTTAAACTTGGAATAGCCTGAGCAAGAATACAAGATGGAGGAATCTCTGAACTGTCTTCCCCCATCACACTGGTATTAAGTTCGGTTTCTCCTTTTTGTTTTTATTCACTGAGGCACTAACATGGTATGGTAGGTATCATACACCTTCTCTAGAAATGCTCTCGCAGACACATCAGATGATATCTCAGGTGATTCTGAATCTAGTCAAGTTGACAGTGAAAATTAATCGTCACAAGTCTGTGACTTGTCAATTTGATACCTCAGTCAACAATTTTAACTATAACCTTCCACCCTCATCCTGAATGTCTCCTCCTGTATGACCATCTCATAATGCTAAGTTAGTTCAGCTACAAGAGTCCCCCCAGATCTTAACAATTCCACCGTTATTCAAAAGGTCAAAGTCCCTGGTAGGATTCAAGGTAGTCTCTTACAGTGAGCCCTGGTAAGAAAAGGGAAGTTAGTACTTTTCTAAAATACCACAGCACAGAACAAACATCCCCATTCCAAGAGAGAGAAATAATGACATAACAAGGAAAATGTGGGCTAAAGTAAGACTAAAAGCTGACATGTAAAACACTAAATCCTGCAACTCCAAATGGAAAGGTCTCAGATGTGGGTACAAGAGGGAACTGAGATGGGTTGTTAGGATAAGAAGTTAACACCGTGGACAGGCAGACAGAAGACAGCAAAAATGATAGAGGCATTGAGGGGTTGAAGTCCCATCACCAGAAATGGGCAGCACAGCAGGATTGAGGGTCTTTCTCACAGCTCTGAGGGAACCGGTAATTCCCAGCAGGAGCCAGGCTATCTAATTGCAGAAAAGAGGGTGGAAAGCAGGATGTGTGCCCACTAATACCCCCTTTCATGTAAACTCACCCCCACCCCTGAGAAATCCTGACACTTAGAGGTCTTAGCTAGAGATTCACAGACAATGGTCTCAGTAGAATTCCTGTCAGACAGCAAAGGGCTGCTTCCATTATTGTAGCCTGAGAAGTCTGGTCATGGAATTCTTACATGTATCGGACTGGAGCTGTGTTAGTTTGCTTTCTGTTGCTGTGGTAAAACAGCATAGCCCAGTGCAACCCTGGGGGAAGAAAGCGTTTATTTGGCTTACATTCTGAGACCCCCCAGACCATGGAAGGATATCACACATGAAGAGTGGTTCCTCACTCTTTAGTTAGAACTCTTGGGAAATGTCCTTGCAGACAAATACTCCCAGAGATATGTCTCCTATGTGACTTTAATGCCTGTCAATTTGACAATAAAGATTAATTAACCATCACTAGTTTTTTTTGTGAATGTGCTTATGGTAAATCATAATTATACATTACTGAAAGGAAATACAAAGAAGTATAAGATGCAATATATAGTAAGTTAAGAAAATATCAGATGGGAAGATGGCTCAGCAGGTAAAATGTTTGTTACACAAGCATGAGGACCAGAGTTAATATCCCCAGAACCTGTAATCCCAACATGAGGGGATGGTGACAGGAAATCCCCCAAACAAGCCAGTTAGCCAGACTACCCAAAATTGCAAGCTTTGGGATTCAGTAAGAGATCCTACCTCAATATATAAGATAGATAGAATATACAAGATACAACTGGGGAAGACAATTGGCATCAACCTCCAGCCTCCATCCACACAGACCCACAAATGTGTGAGCCTGCAAACTGAAGTGCATCCACACAATGCAAACATGCATGTACACTACAAACACACAATCCACTCAAAAAGAGAAAGGAAACACGCATGCATTACACACACACACACACACACCACATAGATGTATTTAAAATATGATATAAAAGATATTAACCAATTATCTTGAGGTTGGTATAAGTTTGTCAAAGGAAACTCAACAAGATCTGGTCATAGTTGCAAACGCTTGTAATCCTAGCACTTGGGAAGTGGAGACAGGAAGATCAAATGTTCAAGGTAACCTTTTGCTACTTAGAAATTTTAAAGCCATATGAGAGCCTGTCTCAAAAAAGAAAAAGGAGAAGAGTGTCGAGATGGCTTAGTGTGTGAAGACTGGCCACAGACCCTGACAACTTAGGTTTTAACCTTGGGATCCACATGGTAGAAGGAGAGACCCAACTCCCACAAGTTGTTCTCTGTCATATGTGTACCATGATGTATACACGTGCACACACATACATGCACACGCACACATGCATTTGCACACACAATGCACATACAAACAGAGAGAAACAAATAAATATAATCTTTAAACTTTTGAAATAAAAAATAAGGAAAATTCAAACAGAAGACTGGAAAAATTATTAAATACAGTCTAGGAAAACCTCTGGCTTCTGTGGCACTCAGAGCTTGGGAGCTTGAAGAGGGCACTGGGGTAGGTTAGTGAGCTCACACCCTGCCATTCAGACTTTCCCATCTGGGCCCCTACCCTCTCTAACCACAGCAAACATCTAGAGTATAAGCCATGGATCTTACAACTAGGCATTGTGGGCTTCCTCCTGATACACTGCATGTGTGCAGAGTGTACTGCTGGCTTATCTCGCTCTGCCTTTGAGATGCTCTCACTGTACTTAAATATTTTGACACCAGAAGCACGTGACATTAAACATTTAACATGGTTAGGATTATTTTTATGACACCCTTCGTGATTCCCATTTCTGTTGCTAAGGCCACCGTAAACTAGCCACCTCACCTATTACTATAACAACAGTCATGAGCATTTATAGAGTGCCTCCAGACACTTGAGAGACCATTTAAAAGTACAATTTCTTTCTCAAAGATTTTAACAATTTTTCTGTATAATGCAAACAGAATGAAGTATCAGGGGACCAAAATACCCACAGCATCCAAATGGTACATGAATATTAAATGTACAAGAGCATTTTGGGCTTGCCATTCTTCCTGGAAAATTCTAACAAAAGCATGATACATGTATAGAAAAGTTAGTAGGCACTTTTATTTTTACACAATAGAACTTGTACATGTGGGTATATGTTCATGTTGATGCACTTGTGCGTACAGATACGTGTGTATGCCTTGTATGTGGAGGCCAGAATTCAACTTCTGGTGTCATTCCTCAAGAGCTATCCACCTGTGTTTCTCATTGATTTGGAGCTTGACAAGCAGGCTGCACTTGCTGACCAGTGAGCCCCCAGAGATCATCCTGTCTCCATTCCCCAGTGCTGAGATTAAAAGCACACATTCCCCACCCCAGCCTTTTAAACCAGGTTCTGGAGATTGAACTCTAATCCTTGTGTTCACACAGCAAACACTTAAACACTGAACTGTCTCCAAGCCCTGACCCAAATGGGATTTTAAGTGAATAGTTAATGGATAAAATGTGTCTTAAGAATTGCTGACAACTGGATCCATCCAACAAGCATTGCAGCTGACCACTTGCCTTTGCTTGAAAGAGTCCATTAGAACCAAAGACACAATGGAGGTACAAAAATAGTAGCCTGACATTCCATACAGCAATTAGAAAAGAACTAAAGGAGGAAAAGAAATCAGAACCCATGATTGGGCAATAGGCAGGAGCAGTAACAACTTATATTAAACATGGCTTTCCTAAGAAGCAACACGGTTATGAGAGACTCAGTCTTTGCAATCACAAGAGAGGGAAACAGATTCAGGAAAAGCCTATCCCCTGCCCAAAGACAGTGGTAGAGCTGGCAGTCTCATACATTTCCAACCTCACCCCT